CCGAGTGTCTCCTGGCACCACTACCACCATCTCCAGATGATGACCTTTGAAAAACACAAACACCACCACTCGAGTGTCTTCTGACACCTCTACCACCGTCTCCAGATGATGATCTTTGAAAACCACAAACGCCACCACTCGAGTATCTTCTGATACCTCTGTCATCGTCTCCAGCTGATGATTTTCTGAGATGACACACAGCTTCCATCCAATGTCCTCTGGGACCTCAACCACTTTCTCCCACTGATAATTTTTTGAGATTACAGGTAGCTCTACCATTTGAGTGTTCCCTTGGACCTCAGCCACCTATTTCAATAGAGTGTCCTCTGGTATCTCTACCACTGTCTCCAGCTGAAGATGTTCTGAGGCCTCACACACCTCCTCTTGAGTGTTCTCTGATACCTCTACCACCATCTCAAGCTGATGATTTTCTGAGCCCACACACACGGCCACCCGAGCGTAATCTGTGACCTCTACCATCTTCTACAGCTAGTGACTTTCTGAGACCACAGGCAGCTCCAGCACTTGAGCATTTTCTGGAACGTCAACCTCCTATTTCACTCACGTGTCCTCTGGGACTTCAACCACCTACTTCACTCCAATGTCCTGTGCCACCTCAACCATCTTCTCCAAGTGAACACTCTGAGACCACAGTCACCTCCTTCAGTCAAGTGCTGTCTGGTATCTCCACCATCTTCTCCAGCTGGTGATCTTCTGAAACCACACACACCTCCAGCAATTGAGTGTCCTCTGAGACTTCCTTCATGTCTTCCAACTGTTTGTTTGATGGGACCTCCAGCACCTCCTCCGGCCGCACCTCCTATGGGACTTTATCCACCTCATCCAGGTGTCTGTCCTGAGGTACCTCAACTTCATCCACCTGTCTGTCATGTGGGACCCCATCCACCTCATCCAGGTGTCTGTCCTGGGGGGCCCCATCCGCCTAATCCAGGTGTCTGTCCTGGGGTACCCCATCCGCCTCATCCAGGTGTCTGTCCTGGGGGACCCCATCTGCCTCATCAACCTATCTGTCCTGGGGGACCCCATCCACCTCATCCAGGTGTCTGTCCTGGGGGACCCCATCCACCTCATCCACCTGTCTGTCATGTGGGACCCCATCCACCTCATCCACCTGTCTGTCATGTGGGACCCCATCCACCTCATCCACCTGTCTGTCCTGGGGGGCCCCATCCGCCTCATCCAGGTGTCTGTCCTGGGGTATCCCATCCGCCTCATCCAGGTGTCTGTCCTGGGGGACCCCATCCGCCTCATCAACCTATCTGTCCTGGGGGACCCCATCCGCCTCATCCAGGTGTCTGTCCTGGGGACCCCATCCGCCTCATCCAGGTGTCTGTCCTGGGGGACCCTATCCACCGCATCCAGGTGTGTGTCCTGGGGGACACCATCCACCTCATCCAACTGTCTGTCCTGGGGGACACCATCCACCTCATGCATCTGTCTGTCCTGGGGGACACCATCCACCTCATGCATCTGTCTGTCCTGGGGGACACCATCCACCACAGCCACCTGTCTGTCCTGGGGGACCCCGTCCACCTCATCCACCTGTCTCTCCTGGGGGACCCCGTCCACCTCATCCACCTGTCTCTCCTGGGGGACCCTGTCCACCTCATCCTCCTGTCTCTCCTAGGGGACCCGGTCCACCTCATCCACCTTTCTGTCCTGGGGTACCCCGTCCACATCATCCACCTGTCTGTCCTGAGGGACCCCGTCCACCTCATCCATCTGTCTGTCCTGGGTGACCCCATTCACCTCATCTATCTGTCTGTCCTGGGGGATCCCATTTGCCTCATCCATCTGTCTGTCCTGGTGGACCTCACTTACCTCATCCATCTGTCTATCCTGGGAGACCCCATACACCTCATCCAGCTCTCTTTCCTGGGGGACCTCATCTTCTTCCTCCAGCAGTGTGGTCTCTGGGACTTCAGCCTACTTTTCCACTTAGTGGACACTGGCACCTTGGCCACCTTCTCTACCTTGGTGGCCTCTGGCCCCTTGGCTACCGCCTTCACATGAGTGGCCTCTGGAACCTCAGCCACCTTCTCTACCTTGGTGGCCTCCCTTAGCTGTCACCTTCACACGAGTCTCCTCTAGTACCTAAAGAATCTCCTCGTGACCTCTCAGCCCTCACTACCTCCTTCCCCTAGGTTTTCTCTAGTACTTCGGCCACCTCCTTCCCTTGGCTGACCTGCTGTCTCAACCGACACTCAACCTTCCCCTGACTGTCCTCTCGGACTTCACCCCTCCTCTAGTCATGTGGCCTCGGAGACCTCGACCAACACCTCTAAATGCACCACTTGATGTGTTGCTTTGAACGGTATAAAGTAATTTGTAAAAAAAATTCATCTCTTCTTTTTTGAGTGAATAGAAAGAAGTGTCACAGATGGTACTGCAGGGCTTTGCAGTACAAGGGTAACACCGGCTGAGATCCTGGTCACTTTTCTCAGGTTTCTGAGAGTACACAGTCGATTGCATTATTTCCTCATCATGAGTTTGGCAGCAGGTATCTCTTGTAGATAAAGACAGATTTTTTATTTTTTGTGGGGACAGAGTCTCACTGTCACCCAGGCTGGAGTGCAGTGGTGCAATCCTGGCTCAGTGCAACCTCCATCTTCAGGATGTGCGTGGACTGGGGCTGAGCCGGTTATTGCCTGAGTGCGATGGGGACAGCTGTGAGTCTGCGGGCCAAGTATTGCACTTATAAAACACTCCTCATCGGACCGCAGGCCACCTAGAGGGCAGGGGTGGGCAGGGCTCAACAGCTCGCTTCTCTGGGCCACTGGGCCACCCCGTCCCTGTTTTACAGTTAGGGTAACTGAGGCACCGAGGTGAAGGGAGCCCCTCGCACGCGAGATCGCAGCCGGGGACATGGGCAATGGGGGTGGGCACAGGGCGATGAATGGGGACGGCCAGGGTCTCGAAGGGGCTGTCCCACTGCCCAGCCGTTCAGTCCGACTAAGGCTAGCATATGTGTGGTCTATGGCTTCTGGGCGGGCTGACTGCCAGGACAGCGCAATGGCAGGGCTTTGGTCTGGATGACCATCTGGATGACAGCCTCACCCCCGCCCGCCTGGCCCTACAGGGCTGTTGGCGAGGGTCACAAGTTGGACAAGAGGCACGAGCCCGCAAAGTCCTGGGGGTCCAGGCTGCCACCACACGCCTGGCAAGGTCGAGTCCCTGCAGTTCCAGCTGGGCGCAGAGGCCCGGGCAGCGGGCATGGGCTCCAGGTCTGGCATGGAGCTTCTGGCTGGACTGGAGGAGGCCATGGGGCCGGGCATGCCGTGGCTCTTGCCCATATGGAATTATTTGGGATTTTTGTTTTTGAGTTGTTTTTTTTTTTAAATCACTGTCACCCAGGCTGGAGTTCAGTGGCACAATCTCGGCTCACTGCAACCTTCACCTCCCAGGTTCAAGTGATTCTCCTGCCTCAGCCTCCCTAGTAGCTGGGGATTACAGGCACTGGCCACCATCCCTGGCTAATGATTTGTATTTAAGAAGACACAGGGTTTCACTATGTTGGCCAGTCTGGTCTAGAACTCCTGACCTCAGGTGATGTGCCCGCCTTGGCTTCCCAAAGTGCTGAGACTACAGGCATGAGCTACTGCTCCTGGTTCACTCTGTTTCTATTTAATTTTAATTTTTTAAGATTTGTTTTCTGTGCAGAAGCTTTTTAGCGCGATGTAATACTATTTATCAGTTTTTGCTTTGGTTGCCTGTACTTTTGATGTCTTACTCAAAAACTCTTCGCCTAGGCCACTGTTCTAAAGCATTTCCCCAATGTTTTCTTCTAGTAGTTTCACAGTTTCCTTTTTTGTTTTTCTTTAAGACAGAGGCTCACTCTGTTGCCCAGGCTGGAGTGCAGTGGCACGATCTAACCTGACTGCAACCTCCACCCCTTCGGGTTCAGCGATTCTTCTGTCTCAGCTCCCTGAGTAGTTGGAATTACAGGCATGCGCCATCACGCCCGTCACTTTTGTATTTTTAGTAGAGATGGGGTTCTCCATGTTGGTCAGGCTGGTCTCAACTCCCAACCTCAGGGCATCTGCTGGCCTTGGCCTCCCAAGTGCTGGGATTACAGGCGTGAGCCACTGCACCTGGCCTAATTTTTGTATTTTTAGTAGAGACAGGGTTTTACCATGTTGGCCAGAATGGTCTCGAACACCTGATCTCAGGCAATCCATCCACCTCAACCTGGGCTGGGATTACAGACGTGAGCCACCACACCCAGCCTGTAGTTTCTTAAATGTAAGTTTTTAATTAATTTTGATTTGATTTTTATATATGGTGAAGCATAGGGGGCTAGTTTTATTCTTCACACTTAGATATCTCTCATTTTCCCAGCACCACTTACTCAAGACACCGTCTGTTCCCAAGGTATGTTCTTGGCACCTTGGTGAAGAACAAATTGGATGTAAATTCATGGATTCATTTCTGTCTTCTCTATTGTGTTCCACTGGCCCATGAAATTCTTCCTTTTTGATATTATAACGTCCCCATTTTCCCATTTCCATCCTGTCAACCTTGCTGTGTTTGGGCCAAACAGGGCCAGTAGAACCCAGAACTTGATGTGGACTAGTGAGGCCAGAGCCTCATTATGCAGCTCAAGAAGTCTGCGCTCAGGTCCTTGGTCTGCAGAAAGGACCAAGTCCCCATCGATGACCCCTCAAAAACACTGTTAGGGAAACCACAGTGTGAAACAGCTTGAGAAATAGAATCTATGTCAGATCCAACATTTCCTTACACTCTTGATTGCACGACTGGGACACCTGAGCAGGATGAACCAGAAGAGCACCCTCTTCACCTGCGTGCCCAGGTCCTCTTTCGGTCACCTAGGGCATGAGGCTGGAAGCAGGGGTGTCTGGGATAGGTGCAGGCTATGGTCGGGCGGTGGGGCTGGTGGGTGCTGGGCAGTGGTAGGGTGGTGGTAGTGAAAGGTCTAGGGCAGGGCAGAGATCAGGAGGAACAGCACTCCAGCAGGGTTCAGAGACAGGTCAGTAGGTTGGCAGACACAGGAGCACGTGGCCTGGGACTCAGACGAGCAGCTAGAGTTGGAGGAGAAGGGCCCTGTTTTCCTCCAGTCTTCCTCTGGGTACTGCAAATAGACTCACTCTCTGCATCTTTGAACCCCTTCCTTCAATCCCAGCATGCACCTTTTTTTTCAAACTGAGAAAGAGTCTCACCCTTGTCACTCAGGCCAGAGTGCAGTGGCATGATGTCAGCTCGTTGCAACTTCCACCTCCCAGGTTCAAGCAATTCTTCTGCCTCAGCCTCCTGAGTAGCTGGGATTAATGGTGCACACCACCACACCTGGCTAATTTTTGTATTTTTAGTAGAGACAGGGTTTTGCCATGCTGGCCGGGCTGGTCTCGAACTCCTGACCTCAGGTGATCCGCCCACCTCAGCCTCCCACCGTGCCCAGCTGCAGCACTCACCTTCTTAAGGACAGTTCCTTTCTGGATCCTTCCTAAGCTTCTGATTTCTCATCTTTCCTAACCCAGCTCACTGTCCTCCCCACCTCACTCCCCCCATTCTGCCTCACTTTCTCCTTTCCTGATTCCCACCATTTCCCACAATCAGTCCTGGACTCAGATTCCCGCCCTTCAGGTTCCAGTGTTCCTTGGGTCCTCCCTCACCCCTGATCCTCTCTGATTAGGGGTGGGGGTGTGAGCTGGAATTAAAGCCAGCCTGGATTGGAGTCCTGGGGCTGGGTTCTGCATTGTGCTCCGCTGTGTCATTGCACCTTCTGGTTTCTGCTCTTTCTGCTGCTTCATCCTCTTTATGCTCTAACCCGCCAGCGGCTGCTGGCCCCGCCAGTGGAGCGCGCTCCTTCCCCCCTGCTGCTTCTCCAGCTCCAGCTCTCCATCTTCAGCTCCTGGCCTTTCCTGGCCCAGGGGCCCCATCTCTGAGTTCCAGACCTTTTCCGGGGCACTGTCCTGCTCCTCCTCGTCACCTCAGGACCGTGGCCTTGGGCTCCTCCTCCAGCTGCTGCCGGCCTGGGCCAGCCGGGTCAGTATTGCGGCACCGACAGTGCAGTTCCCGCCCCGGGGTGGCTGCAGCAGGTGCAGCGCCCGCGGCACCCCATGGAGGCTGGTGTGGGCGCCCCCTGGAGGTTGCTGCGGCGCCCCCTGGAGGTTGCTGCGGCGCCCCCTGGAGGTTGCTGCGGCGCCCCCTGGAGGTTGCTGCGGCGCCCCCTGGAGGTTGCTGTGGCGCTTGTTGGTGCCCGGTGCCCAGACTGGGTCTTCCCGGCTGCGTCGCTGCTGCCCCCTCCCGGGGTGGCGGGGCCAGGGCTCCATGCGGCTCCATCTTCTCTTGAGGTGCCTTCGCTCCTCCCGGAAGTCAGCGGTGCCGCCCCCGAGGCTGCTGCTGCCCAGGTCGCCATATTCCCCTCGGGGCCGGCTGGGCTCTCGCCTCAGGCCGCCCACCCGGCTCCAGCCACCGCCGCCTCTGCCTTGCAGCCGCGGGCAGAGGCGATGGAGAGACCTCCAGGCACCGGGAGGCGGCGGCTCCCGCAGCAGCCGGCGGGACGGGGGAGAAAGACGCCAGGAAACAGAAGGTTCTCGCCGGCCCGACGGTCGATTTGGGCTGCACCCCTTGGTTCCTGCCTGCGAGCGGCTGCTGGGACCCTCCCTGCCGTGTTGCTCCCCGAAAAGCTCTAAGGCTCTCGGGTCTGCAGGGAGGGACACTTTCCCCTCACTGTGAGTCTGCAAACTCGGAGCCAGGCGGATCACAAGGTCAGGAGATT